TGGCTCCCTCTGCCTCAATGGCCTCATTTTAACAGATCTGTTTGTATCAATATCCCATCTCCTAATCTCCAAATTCTCTTTGACCCTCCCCAGCCCACCCAGACAGGCTGGTTTTCCTGCCCCACTGGCGATGCCTTGCAACTCTCCTGCCCCAAATGACCACAGGGTCAGCCCCTTCTCTTCCCTGCCACGCTGGCTGCTCTGGGAGGGCAGGGGCACCATCCTGTGCAACAGCTCCCACCCCAAACCAGGCAGGAGGCCTGGGAGGGAGGGACCAGGGCAGGAGGTGCTGGGAGGAACTGGGCAGGAGGTGCTGGGAGGGACCGGGCAGGAGGCCTGGGAGGGAGGGACCGGGCAATGTATTTTTCTTCTTGCCTTTTCAATTGTGTTTCTACGGAGCAATACTGTGGAGACCTTCTGGTGACTGAAAACCTGGGAAACATGAATAAAGAATGACCAGTTTGTTGCGCCAAGTTCTCCAGGGTGGGTAGGAGCCCAGCTCTATGGGAGGGCAGAGGAGGGCGCTGGGAATTCAGTGTGGAGTGTTCGTCTTACTTGGTCTGACTCTTCAGAACATGTAGTGGTCACCACTGCCCACCAATGGTCACCTCAGTGCTGCAGGGACGTCGCATCAGATAGGATGTTTATTTAGAGCATTGTAGTTAAGAATTCACCCTCCAGCCCTAGCTGGTTTTGCTCAGTGGATAGAGCGTTGGCCTGAAGAAGGGTCCCAGGTTCTATTGGTTCCAGTAAAGAGCACGTAGATCAGTTGCAGGTTCAACCCCCAGCCCTGGCTTCTGAGGGGAAGGGACAGCTGCGCTCAAACCCAAGCCCTTGTGTGCTGTTCACTTGGAAGAATGATTCTAGGCGGCACCATGCCCATCGGAGTGCCAGTGACTGCAACAATAGGCCCAATTTTAGCATCAAGGTGCTAAGGCTCCTCCTCAAGGCTGCTCAGCCCGAAGACAGTGGCACCTACTCCTTGGAGGTCACCTTTGAGAACAGCACTGTCAGGACCCACCTCTTCCACGTGTCCGTGATGGGTGAGTGTCCCTCCCGGCGGGCGGGCTGGGGCTTGAAGCGCCTTCCTGATCAGAACCTCTGCTTCCAGACCCTGTGGGGAAGCCTGAGCTGCAGCTGCTGGAGCAGACGGCGGCCCTGGGCAGTGGAAAGTGCCGAGTGACCCTGAACTGCTCGGCCTCCGGAGGTGGTGATGTGACCTACACCTGGTACCGAGGGGGCAAGCGGATCCCGACGCCCAGGAGCTCCTTCCGACTGGAGGAGCAGGTCGATGCCAACAGCGGGCCCAACCGCTGTTTAAAACGAAATTGACTGGGCTGCAAGCTCATTTTTCTCACTGTATAATTAGGGGTCGTGACTTTTAAGTTCTTTCTAAATCTGTTTCCTCGCTTGTAAGATGGGGATGAGAACCTTGTAGGGCCACTGTGAAGTGCAATGGTTAACACATGTAGAGAGTCTACCACCTGCCTGCGCCATGGTGAGAACTCGAAACGTTCCCTCTCATGAGGGGCTGTTGGCGCCTTCCGAGCTCGGGGAGGAGGGGTGCCAATGAGGATGTGTGCTCTCAGGTCCAGGCTCTGGGCCCTCGTAGCTCAAGGGAAGTCACGTCCAGCTGCCCCCATGCTGAGGCCTGGCGCCCTTCCTGCCCGCAGCCGCTTCCTCTTGCCCGGAACCCCTGTCTCCGGATGGACCTGTGGTGAGACCTTCGGGCACGTCTTTCTGCTTAGGGCCCGGCCACATCCCGACAGTGGTGAGGTCTTCTGAGTGGAAGGTACAGCTGCGCTCAAACCCAAGCCCTTGTGTGCTGTTCACTTGGAAGAATGATTCTAGGCGGCACCATGCCCATCGGAGTGCCAGTGACTGCAACAATAGGCCCAATTTTAGCATCAAGGTGCTAAGGCTCCTCCTCAAGGCTGCTCAGCCCGGTGACAGCGGCACCTACTCCTTGGAGGTCACCTTTGAGAACGGCACTGTCAGGACCCACCGCTTCCACGTGTCCGTGTTGGGTGAGTGCCCCTCCCGGCGGGCGGGCTGGTGCTTGAAGCGCCTTCCTGATCAGAACCTCTGCTTCCAGACCCTGTGGGGAAGCCTGAGCTGGAGCT